GATGTACTTTGTCTCCCCCTTGTGATTGGAGCCTGTAAATTCAGTGACGTTTGCTGTTCCTTTGCTGTAAATATGCATTTAAAACTAGTGAATAAAGTTAATCTCACACATTTTCTAGCATTTTTGTCTGTGCTTGTTTCCTCTTGTGCTCATTTATTTTTTAATCATTTACACACATTTAGCCATGTCAAGTTCCATCCCACCCATTTATACAAGCTGCTCTTGCAGTCAATTCTGTTATTTATGATTGAGTATTTGTGTGACACTTTAACCAGTGCTGATTCAAACAGTCCTCTTAATTAGCACTTTAATCTTATAAACAAGTTGGATTGGTGTAAATATTGGGTTCACTACTCATCATTCCCTCAGCCCTCTGTACCTGAACTCTATTTTCCACTGTGGGTCTCCTGTTCCCATTCTAATTGAGTGCTAATGAGTGCCTAATTAGTTAATTAGACCTATTAACCACTTCAGTAAACAGCTGCAAACCCTTTTCCTCCAGGTCAAAAACAGGTAGTAATTTAAGGAGACCCAGAAATTATTTCTCAAAGGAAGAGGAGCAGGGATAATTTACACTGATCTGGAACTGTATTAAACATGCCAGGGTGGTTACAGCGATGAAGACAATGGAGAAGGATGTTGAATGAGTGCCAGGTGATGCAGTGCTGTAGAGAGGACATGTCTAATGCTTGCTGGGATGCAACACTAGTGAACCACCAGGTGAAATCACCTGCAGTTCAGGGGGAGGGCTGTGAACTGTGAGCACAGGTGAAGACTTGACTACGAGACACACCTGCAGCAGGTGAAGCAGGGGGGCTCTTTCAGCAGGACCACAGCGACTCAATATTGTAGACAGGTTTGCAACAGCAGTGGCCTGATAAGCATTAGGCATGGGTGTCCAGGTGAGTTAGAGCACAAAGTGCTCAACTTTTCTATTCCTGTTTCTCTCTTTTTTTTTAAATTTGATTTTGTTTTCTTGCCCACTGTGTGGACATCCAGACAGGACAGGAGAAGGCCATGTGCCGCTTACTCTATTGCTCTCCCTGGATTAATGAGCTTCAAACATGCTCAGTCTCTCGTGCTACATGCCTGGAGCTGTGGCCATCAAGCACAGATGCCTGTAGCTGTTACTTTTATTGAAAGAAAAACTCTGAACATTAAAGTGGCATTTTCTCAGAAAAGGAAAACTCACAACCCTGGCTTTGCAGAGCAGTGTGCTGGGAGAAGCTGTTGCTTTGTCCTAAAATAAGTCAAACAAATCGAGTTGGCCCAGTAACGTCTGGGCTCGGCAGCAGCCCTGATTCTGCAATGAGTGTGCAGAGCGCTGGTCTCGATGCACAGAGAAACATCAACTTCCTGCCACTGCTGCTGTTATTCTGGGCTCTATCGCCTTTTCTGTTGCCTTGTGAAACCACGCAGCCTCATTCAACTCCTGTGCGCCTGTGAGCTATGGCGAAAGAACAGTACGAACTGGGGCTCTCAGCCTTCCTGATGCGCAGGGGCATAGCCAACCTGAGTGATCCTAGGCCTGCCCAATCAATCCAAAGTAATTTAAGTTTTTTTTCCCCTTGTTTACGTTACATAATTTGCTTTTTAATGTTACGTGTTTGATTTATTTTCATCGTATGAAAATGATGAGCTTCTGTGTGATGTTTACATGATCTCCAGCTGTGTGGGTTTTCTGCAGGGGCTCTCGTTCCCTTCCAAAGTCCATGCATTTGCGACA